GACTCATTGCCAGTTATCGCAAACGCTTGATTGCAGTTGTTGCTGCTGCTAAGGGTGGCCCAACCATTAGGTTTAGGGGGCAATCACTCTTTCACACAGGGCCATGTAGATTTGGATTTTTTTTTTCCCCCTTAATAATAAAAACCTTCATTTTAAAAACTGCATTTTGTGTTATTTGTGTTATCTGTGTCTAACATTTAAATTTGTTTGATGATCTGAAACATTTAAGTATGACAAACATGCAAAAAAATAAGAAATCAAGAAGGGGGCAAACACTTTTTCACACAACTGTACATGGGATGGGACTCTCACATGGGCCCCACCAGCAGTAGGAGGTGGACAGAATGGAGTAAAGGGAGTACACAAGACTGGCACCAGATTAGTTCCCACATTGCCGACCACCTCTCCAGAGCTGGGTTTTCTCCTCGGCACGAGGTTGACGCTGGACTGCTCTTTCTGCACCGTGCCATTAAAATAAACCTCTCACTGCTTGATTTGCTCCTGAATGCGAAGCCAGTGAGAGGGACTGTAAAGAATGTGGTTGAGAACGTACTGCTGGATACATCATTCAGAGATTTTTGTTATTCTTCAATAGAAAAAATATTGCAATGTAGCGTTTGGCTGTGTTGTTGGGTTCCCACAGTGGAAAAGGCCTATATTGTAGTGGTGTGACTCCAACCAATCACTAATTTTCCTTCTGTTTGTTTCCTAGATTTGAGAAGCAAACTGAAGTCATCACTTGAAAGATTGCTCTATATGCGATGCAATCTGGATGTCCACATAGCCTAGGAGGATTCTATTCTGCATTCCAACACAGGAGTAACGTTGGTGCTCGGTCATCACCTCAGGCCATCAATGTTACACCTGTACCGGTGGTTCACCCTGAGAATGAAATACAAAACAACATGGTAGCCTCTCCATATCCCGGGGAGCTTGGAGTGGCTCACGGCCCTGCTCGGTTGCAGAAAAGCTATGGACAATCACAACAAAATTCACAGGGACTCCACCACCAACAGGAGTCACTGGTAAGTACAGTAAGCACTGGATCCCAGCCCCCCATATGGACTAATACAACAACTAAGTTGTATTCATCAGCTGACTTTTATTCATCAGCACACATCTCTGCACAGCACGGCAGTAATTTTGGGACATCAGTTAATGGTTACTCTGTAAGACAATCTGTTGATAAAAGTGGACAACAAAGGGAATATTCTAAGGAGAATTTCAGTAGACATTTTCTGAAAGAGTCGGATTTGGACAAGAATACTGGACTGCAGCAAAGAAAACATTTTTCCAATGGTAGCAATTCTGCAGCACTACAGGGAGACAGCCTTGAAGTAGCACAGACAATTCCTCAAAAGGTTCAGTGTTCCTCTGCGCAGAAAACTTCTCCAATGCTGTTTGACTTACTGACAGAAAACCCACCCGAATCCAAATCCTTTACCTCCACATCTTCTTTATCAGAGGAAACTAATGCCAACATGGCGCTCAATACTGTTACTCATGTTTCAGGCAGAAGACACCATAAAGATCTGCAAGTTAAAGATTCACTAGCTGCTCTAAACTGTGGACAGACTAGAAGACAACACCTACATCATTCAGGAGGAACTCCTTCCACTTCCCATCAGCAGCAGGTCTCCTTTCCTTCCCTTAGCCATCAGCCATCCACAGACAAAGTCTTGTCAGTTGGAGAAACGGAACCGCCTACATCAGTCGAAATACATGCCTTTATTGCAGAAAAGCTTGCATATTTTCGCGACTGTTTAACTAAAAAAAACAGAAATGATAGACATGCCAATAAGGAGTTGGGCAGGGACTCCACACTGCAGTCAATGCAGTCCCATCTCCCCACAACCTCTGCCTCTAAAGAAGAAGATTTGGAGAGGCAGAGTCTCAACTGTGCTGCGAAAGAGTACTATGCTGCAGTTGGACAAGCACTTGAAGAGGACAGTTCAAAAAGCAGCAAAGCAAATGCTGAGTTAATGCCCCAGTTTAACGAGACGCGTGATTGTGCTACATCTGCTTCAGAGAAACATTCAACAGGTATACTAGACACTGCTGTAGAAAACTCAAAACATTCTCCTAAAAATGTATCCGTAGAAAAGAGTGCATTGGTAGTTTTTGATTTGTCATTAAAAAAACATTTGGATATATCTATGCCTGCTAATAGCCATTGCAAACTTGTTTATTCGGATGACTGTGAAGATACATTTATCAGTAACAATGATGAAAGTTTCCGTAGTAAATGGTGCGATAAGTACTTAAAGAATGGCATGAGCACTCTTTATTATTCCCCAACTGCACTGAAGGAGCTCATTGCCAGTCTAGAGACTGTAGACAGCATTGCCGAGACAGATAACGTTTCTAAAGTCATACTGCAACAATATTGGAATGCGAATATAGATAACGTTAATCTCTTTGCATCCACAGAATATCCACAAATAATGCTGAAAGTTGCTGCCACTTGTACAAAGAATGAAGATGAGAGTCCATGGGTTATCACAGCAGTGCCTGGAGTGACCTGGGATGACATGAGGGAGAAGCAACCCACTTTAATGTTTAACCACAGCTTGTCGCAAGAAGAATACAAGTCTCATTTGTTATACAGCAACAAGAATTTGGATGACATAGACCAAGTGCCTGGTGCTTCATGGGCTCTCAACCACATGACAGAGAGGGAGAAAGAAGATACAGCCCTTAAAACTGTGGAGACAGTAGGATTGGACAGTGCGCAAGGTATGGCTGATGTCTCGGAGGATCCTCAAACTAAGTCAAGTTCAGTGGCGTCTGGAAACAGAACATTTGGATTCTCACTCATTGAAAATCGAAATGCAAAAAAAAAGAAAAGTATTGAGGATCCACAACATTGCGGGGTTACCCGTAAGGAAGCACATTCAGAGCTAAATTCTTCAGTTGGGGAAATTCTGATCCATAATGTACTATCAATTCCTACAAACCAAAGTGAATGGCAGAGCAGCCAAAAAATTCGTGACTGTGCGAGGGAGGACGCTGGTTCTGCGCATTCACAAAGTAATTTAAGCATAGTACCTGCAAACAAGTTACAAAAGCATGCTCCGCTATGTGAAAGCAAGGTTGAGGAAGCACATCCACCGTATGAAGACGTTTCAGACGATGACATGTCACAGCTGGCCACAGAACTACCAAACACAGAGCATGGGGAATTTAACAGTCCTGCTTGTCTACAGTATGAAGATATAAGTGAAGCAGAAAGTCAGACTGAGTCTAAGGTTGTAAACCCCTCTGTTTCATGTAGTCCTTCCTCTGTGTTGAACAATGAAGTTGAGACTGATGATGAGATGGATGATGACTATTTAGTCATACCTATAAGCATTTTCAACCTTAAATATGAACCAGAAGATGACCAGGATAGCCCAGAAACGATTGTCTCAGAAGGTGGGGAAACAGGAGTCCAAGAAAGACAGTGTCCAACACACTGCCCATTTTCAAATCTTGCGCTAGCTACTGCTTTTCCCCCGGTGCTGGTGTTTGACACACAGGAGTGCTTTCTGCAAGCTGTGCAATGTGAAAATATGATTGAGGTGGAATTAGGCATTAGCCCCCTTGAACATGAAATGGACTCTGAGGGAGATGTACAGACACCTCAGAAGAGAAGAGTGTCTGTAGACGGCTGTGAAACTGTAGACAGCTGTGAAACTGAAGACAGTTGTGATTACTCATCTGCATCAGAACGCAACTTTTTGACAGTGTCCAGGGAGATGTTGAGTAAAAGCTCAGCACCTGTGCCCTTAGAGACAGATGATTCTACGTCTGAAAAAGAGGGTGAGGGCAATGAGACAAAAAATTTGCAAAAAGACCAAACGAGGGGCGTGGACAAGTTGCGCAGTATGCAAAAACCTAGACAGCCGTTTCAAGCCGAAGCCCGCTGCGCTAAGCGTGTTAGTTTAAAAAGGGAGGACGTAATAATCATAGACTCTGACACAGAGGATGAAGATGATCAAAAAAAGGCAAAAATAAAGAGGAACAGGTTACACTCTTCAGGAGGCTCAGAGGACAGTGGCAATGACACACAGTTTAGAGAAGCAACGGCGGACGCGTGCTCTGACCTGTTTCACAGTGGACCGCCGATTGAAGTTACAGGTGTCTCTGAGCATGTACTACACAACACCAACAGACAAACAACGTCAAAAAGAAGAGTAGATAAACATCATTCTAATGAAGTGGTTAAAAATGGCCATTTCAAGAAAATGAAGGCAGTTGCAGAAGGAATATTCTCATCAGGATCAGAGGACAGTAGTGATGATTTATTTGCTACAAATAGCAGACCAATTGAATCTGTGGACCGTCTGTGTAGAACTGCTAACGCAAAGCCTCCAAAAAAACAATTGTCATCTGGAGACTCGCCAGAGAAGCAGGCCCAGTCTGTGAGGAAGGTGGCAGACTCCCATTTGAATCTCAATCCTGTGATTCCTCGCTTTGTTGCGGAGTCTTCTGGAGCCAAAGGCCGCTTGAAACTTTTAAAAGAACCTGTAGTCCACACACAGGGTAAAGATAGAACTCTGTCTCCAGAGACCTCCACGGCATCCAGCAAAAAGGCAAAGTCCTGTGAAAAGAATAAAGCACATTTGAACAGAAATGAAAAAGTACAATTCCCCACACCCGAGCCTGCAAATAATAGAAACCAAGGAATAAAGAATAATGTTTGGGCAAACGTACAAAAACGTGCAATGGTGTCAAGACTGCTTTCCTTACCTATGCAGGAAGGCCCATCCACCTCCTTCAATAGCTTGTCAGCCACAGGTGGACAACTCAGACAAAGTGCCGTCTCCTCAAGAGGTTTGTCTCCGTCAGAAGCCTTCTCTAGTCTTCCATATGATCCCAGAGAACAATCTGTTCCACCCAAACTGCAGCGGTCTTACAGCAACCCCTCAACATTAAAACATCCTCCTACAAAAGGCCCAGCATCAACCATGCAATTAAATGCAACTGGCAACGCAAAGGTGCAAGTGAATAGCAATCATCCAATCAGGAGAGACGGTAACAATTTAAGACCAGGACCTAGTCACCATGACAGGGCTGGTGGTGTCAGGGCACCCAGAAAGAGGCACAACTCTCACAAGCCTGCAACAAGCCTGATGAAGAGAGCCACTAATGATGCCAAACAGTGGACGAAGGCCATAAACCGGGTTTCCCACAAAGAAAGAAGTGTGTACTTTTGAAGTCTTTTAAAATGTGTTTTAATTGTCCTTAATAAATTCAGATGGTAGTCAAGTTATTTTAATCCATCTAACTAGAATGCATGTTAACCCTTATTCCTAATATAGGACACTCTGTGGGTGAAGGTTACAAGTGGTCAGAGAAGTCAACGGCAAAGCCAACAAAAGGTGACTCTTAACATTTTCTCTAACATGGTTTGCCCCATGCACGATGGACATTTTTTTTTTTACAGCCAATCAACGCACTATGCAATTTAATCTGGATTTCTCAGATACAGGTGTAATCCTGTTTTTCTGTTGTTTCCTGCTGTTTGTCATCGTAGGTTCCAGCATGGACGAGAAGAAGGGTAGATCCCCTCCAAGACCTTATCTGTGAGAAAAGGGTGCCAGTGTCTATAAATCCGAGTCAAGTTTGTTTCGCTTCCAAAGGGACAGCTGTTGCTGTTCTTTAGGTCTTTTGATTTTTCAAAGTGTGTGTGTGTGTGTGTGTGTGTGTGTGTGTGTGTGTG